TTCATCTAAGGTCGACAACACACCTTTCCGAACAATCCGCATCAGCCTCTTCACAGTCCAGGCTGAGATATTTTTCTGAGTAAGCCTCCTCAGGTGATCGAGAGTGCTTCTTCACCCCTCGGACTTGTTTTTCTTAGGCATGAATCTTGAAAACCATGCACGTGGGCTGCTTGTAGTGGCCACTGTCTTGTCATCATCCCCCTCTTGCTCACGGGAAATCCTAGTCGACGGAATGCCATACAAAGTTTGAACTACATATTGATCGAATAGGGAGTCTGGAATCCGATCAAAGAATGTGCTGACATGGAATGACAGAGCTAGGACCTTTACAAGCAGTGTCTTTACAAACCTTACAAACATTCCCACGAGCAGACATAACAAGATTCGGGTCACTAGTGCCAGTATTCTGTTTTCTGTGACCTTCTCATGCCTCGTATTGTACAAGCACTCCCAATCTATGAAGACTACACTCAACCAAACAAAGCTTTGCAGTGCATTTCTCAGTCCATAAATAAAATAAAGAACCTTCTTTTGCAATAGAAAGTAGCGTTCCACAAAAAGGACTACAATTCTTACCCCCCCACTCGAAAGAATTCGTCCAAAGATCACAAGAACATCATAAAAACCCATTTCCATAAGTAAATGCCAGCAAGAATCATACTTCTTAGCACATAAATCTTGAAAGTACAGAAGAGAGCTGTAGTGATAAAGATAAAATCGACCCATTACAGTGTAGTCAAAGGACGACTCAAAAGGTTGGTCTTTTTGCTCAAATTTTCAGGTACGTCCTTTTCATGAAAGGGTCTTCATCTTCCTCGCCTTCACACCCTGACTTCAGGGTCATCCTTTCCGGCTCAGGGGGTCTAACAGCCTGGACTTCATCTTCCTAGACAAAAGCCCTGAGTTTCTACCAGGAGATGGAGATGCAGAGGTGGTACAATATGCCACAATCTCCTCCTCTCCGCCACCAGTGCGCTGCTGGCCGCCAGAATTCGACCCACGACGTACCTCTTATCACGGTTTCTTCTAGCCTCAGTCATTGCGGCATCGTTGGACAGCTCGGTTTTTATGGAACCGGCATTGATGTTAACAGTGAAGAACTCGCTAGAATCAGCTGGAGTAGACTTGGACCGAGACGGCAAAAAAGATAAGGAAGCCATGTCGGAATTCAACTCCCTTGTTTGGAGAGGATGCCGAAGAGAGTGCTGAGGACGCCAGAGAGAGAGAACTGCAGTGTGGCCACCTTTCTATTCTAAACAGAGTTTGACAGGTGAAAATTTACCTTTTCTCACCCGTATAATTGCTAACAGTGTTAAAGTTGATGTGTAGAAGACTCCATGAAATCCTGTATAATTAACATTTGATGGCAACCAATAACCGAAGAAATATTTGCACTAAATAGCACTAAAACTGAAGTCATTTTTCTAAATAGCACTTAAATTATTTTATTCCCTAAATGACACTTAATAATGGTCATAATGTCCAGTGATGACGAATATTTACTTATATAATGACTAATGCATAATGACTAAAGTGCTACATTGGGAAGAAAAACACATGTGATGCTATTTAGAAAAAATCATTATGTTTTAGTGCTATTTAAGTAAAATCCCCATCTTTGCTCTCACATTAGATCTGTCATACCTTTTCTGCATAGAAGAACAACACATCTCACCTCTAAATCTATAATCATGGCCATTTTCAAACAATATGAGGTAGCAATAATTTAAAACATACACAACGAAATGTGAAGAGCATAGATGATATATGATCCAACCACTAAATTCATGCACAATATATTAGTGACGTCAATGACTCATAACACATAACATCAATGGTGAATAGGTGATCAAGAACTTTGCAACACTCAAACAAATCCATGCACGGGTCCAATCATGTAAAGATGTGTTTATAGGAGTCTCTACACGCATGACGCATGTTTATTATGATGCATATGTAGATTTATGAAAATATGTATTGGCCATGCATAAGTGATGGTATAAAAAGAAAACGCTACTTACCACACCTTGTGCGGACACTTTCCCATCAAGAAAAATTATCATGCTTAGCCTTTCATCAATTTCATTTTCATCAAAGTCTATGCTCTACTGTTAGATCTCTTAGCTCAAGATGATGAGATTTCAAGCAAAATGTGGAGGGCCTAGAAAGTCAAAGTAACATCATTCACCAATCAAGGGAAAAGAAACTCATATAATGAGAATTTACATTGATTTTGCATTTTAAAGCATCAATCACATGAGAAAATGGTCATTAGTTATTTTAAAGTAACCTGCAATGGATTGAATGCTCTCACAGTGTCGATTGATGACCAAGAATACATTCTTGGGATCCCACTTGAATGAACTTCAAATTCTCAATGCCATAAAAAACTCCTGGTATGAATTTACTTTTTTAATTGTTAACATAAGGTCAAACATGTTACACCAATTAAAGTTGATCTTGCAATGGTTAGTTTAAGGATGGAAAGAAAGCCTAAGTGCATAGAATGATATACCAATTAAAGTTATCTCCATAGAATTCAAGAAATAAAAAATAATTATACTCGGCATAAAGCAAAGTAGTATTACCTTCCACTTGCTGGCCTAATATTGAAAAATGAAAGATAGAAGATGACCGTCCTTGCACGCGAAGCATGCAAGAGATGAAGATAATGACCGAGGAAGGTGATGTATATCAATTTATATGAGAGTTGGACACACAGGTCATCAATTAAGCCATAGATGATTGAAATTTAAAAAAAATGTATAAAACACCTTACATTAAATATTAAATGGGAATTGAGAGGTAGCCATTTAAAGTCTTTTTGTAGGTGAACTATTTTTCCATTAATAGTGCCTCAAAATTAGAGTAAGTGACCTCATCAATTAAGTTATTAATGATTGAAATTTGAAAAATATAAAATGCACCTTACATCTATTGTGAAATAAAAGGGGGAAGTATGGATGTAGTCTACTATCTACTATATATATAAAAGGTGATGAGAAATCACAACCAATTTCAATGCCCAATTTTCCAGCCAGAAAAAGTTAATCCAATGGCTATTATAGTTTTGAGACACTTGGCATTAATCCATTCAATCTAAGACAGGCCTCATTTGCAATCACAAACAGACAAAAGCATATCTCTCACAACCCAACAACATTTACAATCATAAAAGGACAAAAAATCAAATGTATGATTTGCAGGAAAAATACACTATGCCCCATCTTCAATTCCTTGAACTTTCCTTTTCACCAGCACGAAAAAGACCCCATGATATGCACCAAAGCATATATTTATCAGTGATTCTTTCAAAATATAAATTTAAATATATACCACAACCAGAAGAGCCTCGGTAATGAACACAAAAGTTCCCAAATGTTATTTCAATTTAATCAAATGCTCTAAATTATAAATATGAAATAAAGAGGATCAAAAATCTTTTTCCATCAGGAAATAAAAAGATAAGATTGTCATGGTTGCAGCCAAGGTGTCAATTTTTTGTTCAATTTATTCCAAATCCAAATGAGAAGACCACCATGGCTGCAAGAATTGAATGAAATTCCCTACTGCCAAGCCAAGATACATTATTTAAACAAACATTGAATAACAGTAAGAACCATGAAACATGGTCCATACAGTAAATGACAAGTACCCATTACAAGTGGAAGAAACCAAAAATCTCAATTCTTGCCCTCCATGTCCACACATATATAAGATGCACTAAAATCTATCTTTTTCCCTCTCTAAAAATATGAAACAATATTTTTTTAGCCAAAATAGTATTTTTGTTTAAGGAATTATATCAAATGTTAAGGCGGCATAAAAACATTACTCCCTCCGTCCCAATTTATAGTGCATGTTCAAAATTCATAGGGTCAAACTTCATTCACTTTCTTTTTATATTTTCGTTAACAATTTGATAAAATAAAGTACTATTGTCACTACTAGTTTTGTAGATCTTTTGATGTAGTATTTTGATATGTAACTTTCATTTTTTAACTCTATATCATTTGTCATATAAAATGATTTGAAAAAAATTTCAGTCAAACATCGTAAATCGAAACAAGCGCTATAAATTGGGACGAAGGGAGTAATTGGTGGTGATGAAAACATTCAAATAAAATTTGATATGTTGTCTAAAAAACATTACAAATTATGATAAAACATAATATACTATTGACAGATTTATCTCTACATGTGGTGGATCACACCACTTGCATCCATCTTTACAATATAAACAAATGAAATAAAATAAAGATAATTAAAATAAAAATAAAAAAACATTCATATCCACGAAGATCTAGGCCAAAAAAAAAACTTTACATACCAAGACTCCTGAGAGAGTGTTCCATTTAGAGAAGGGGAGCATAAATCTATAATAATTTTTTAATATCGAAAGTATTTTAGATGTGTTGTTCAAATTCATATCAATTATCATCGAGGGTTTATCTCCTTTATCGTGCTATTATTTGAACTCAGATTTCATTTTGAAATATAATCACAAAAAACGAACTAAAAGATAAAGATATCCGATAGTGAACCCTGCAATATATCATAAAATCATTAAGTTTTAAAGAAATCGTAAAAATATAGGTGATAATCTGATTTCAATCAAAGGTTATAATCGTGTATATTATGCTTTTAAATGGGTGGGGTGTAGAAGAAAGCGATAAAAGAGACGATGAGAAAGTGAAATGCAGCGTAAATTGTGATCATTAACACCTAAAAATATCGGAGATTTCGAGGTGTACACGCTAATGTCACAAAACGGTCTTTGCAACGGATCACGGTTAATTGTTACAAGGCTTGGCAACCGTCTCTTGAAAGCAAAGATGATTCATGGAAAAAATGCAGGACAAATTGTTTTGATCCTGCGAGTTTCATTAACTCCTTCAGATACGAGATTACCATTTAAGTTTCAAGAATGCAATTTTCGATTATGGTATCATATACAATGATTATAAACAAAATCCAAGAACAATCTCTCTCTCATGTTCGCATGTTCCTAAAAAAACTATTCTCAGCTACGGGTAGCTGTATGTGGAAATTTTAGGGTATGCTCCTAAGTGGGTTTATAAATATCGATATGTAATTCTAAAAATATTCCAACTAACACTACAATGAATGTAGTTTATAAAATGACTTTTGAGAATGTTTGATTGCTCTTAATTTGCACATTTTACTGTCCTTCATCCTCATATTATTTATTGAATGTAGTATGCTCTAAAGTGCACTCTCTTATGTTTTGTATGTCTATTTAAATCTAAATGAAAAATAATAATTATAACGGTCCATTTGGCACATGGAATTGACGAAATTAGAATTGAATTGAGAGTTGGAATTTTATGAAACCAATTTAGATGGAATTCAACTTTCAATATCCAATTCATTATATTTTTGGCAATATCAATTTCAAATTCACATATTTTTGTGTTAACTAATACCACAATTAGAATTATTACCCTCAATTCCAATTTTATAATTTGAATTTCGTGTACCAAACATAGCCTAAATGAAAGTGCATACATATTTACTATTTATAAACTAATATCCAATAATTTAAAATATATTACATGTTTTTTACAAATAAGATAAGTTTTTATTTTCCGTGCATGGCACGGGTGATGCACTAGTTTGTTTATAAACAATGATCTACCAGTTTTTTGGAAGTTCTTTAGCAGAGGACAAAATCTGTTTTCACATAAACTAATTTCTATTTCTTCATGGCCATAATTGGTAAACACCATTTTTTTTAATTAAGAGAACATGATTAATCTCATGGGGTGAAGATGTCACACCTAAATATCTTGAAAAACTCATCAAAATCTGTCTATAAAAATGATTTGCCATGTTTTAGGAGATTCTTTACCAGAGGATAACATCTATTTTGCATACACTGATTTCTAATCCTTCATGGCCATAATTCTTAGTAAACAATTCTTTTAAAATATGAGAACATGAATAGTTTAATAGGATGAATATGTCACACCTACAAATCTGGAAGAGTTCAACAATCTCTGAGTGACCTGGGAAATGCGGTTTTTGGTTCACAATCTCAGCAAATATGCCACCAACTAGGCTTAAATGAACAGAAGTAGAATAATGCTGAAAGCCAAGTATCATAGAAGTTTCAACCTGGAAGATGAAAATTAGAATTTAAGTGTGAAAAGCTAAAATTAAATCTGTTGGATTAAACCGGCTTGTTTTTGGGACAAAATAAGTGTTTGAAATAGGAATCCACTTTCTTTCTTTTTTCCTTGAGGTCCTCAACATTTGTTGTAGCTAGAGTCCACCCTAAGGTGCAAACCCTTTACATGGTCCTTCTCTTTCTATAGAAAAGCAGGATTTACGAAATGAGAAATAGCAGCTCCTTATGTTCATTTTCTTAATTTCGACATCAACAAATCTCTACATAAATACAATAGATAATGGATTATAGAATTTTAAACTCAGTCATAGAAAATAAATTCTAACACGAAGGTAAAATCAGAGAAACAAATGAGTCTAAAGCTTACTTGCATAATCCTTGGACAGCTTCTCGGGAGCATAATCTTTGAAGCATAATCCTTTGGACAACTCGGCGGTTGAAGCACCATCTCCTTGGCCTTTGGACAGCTTCTCGGTTGAAGCATTGTCTCTGTTAAATATATTATTTATATATTTAATATTATTGTATTATATTGTTACCATAACTGTATCACCTTCCTACTATGTCTCTCCTACCATAATTAGGATTGAGACTCCTAGTATATATTCACATGTAATCACCACAATTCATTAATGAAAATATTCTTTCTACATGGTATCAGAGCCTCATAAACCCTAACCCTAAATTTTCTTCTCCCACCTGCGCCGGCCTCCCTCTCGGCTCACCCTCACACAGCCGCCGGTCTCTCTCTCTCTCTCTCGGCAGCCTCCTGCCGCCGGCATCCTCCCCCAATCACCATGACAGACGGCGAAGTTACGTCCCCAAACACCACCTCTAAATCCCCACATCTTGCCTTCACCACCATCTCTAATGTCAAACTCCATGTCCCCATTCAACTAAGCTTTTCTTAACCTAATTACAAAAAGTGGAGCCGATTGTTTCTTCTACTCGTTCGGCGCTTCAATCTCCATGGTTACATCTATGGGTCCGTCGTCCCCACCTCCGACAACGACGATGAATGGTTTCAACTAGATGCTCTTCTTCAAGGCTGGATTCTCTCCACAATCACCGACAGAGTTTCGGACCTTGTCATCTCTTCCACCACCTCTGCAGCCTCTCTCTGGAAGGTGATTCATGATCTCTTTCACAACAATAAACACGCTCGTGCCATGCAACTCGAGCACCAATTCCGTACTACCGTCAAAGGGAACACCCCTATGGCTACTTATTGTCAAAATCTCTTCAACATCGCCGATTGGTTAGACGATGTTGATGCGCCGTTATCACAAAATCAACTTGTTCTTCAGATGCTACGCGGGTTGCCGGAGGATCTTCAGGTTCAAACTTCGTTCCTCTAGTTTCAAGATCCGCTGCCCACGTTCCTTCAAGCCCGATCGGCTGTAACGCCCCAAAATATACCCTAGAATTATTAATAAATAAATAATCAATTAATCAAATTGATTTTGATTAAAATAAATTGTTGTTGGACTTTGGGCCGAAATAAAATGTGTTTTGATATCCAATATCATAAGCAGGGTAAATCTCATAGAGATAAACCCAATTTGTTGACTATTTGTGTGGTCTTGATTGGGAACCTGAGTACAGACCCAAATCAAGAATAGATGAAGAAAATATTTATGACGTAAACTTTGAAATGATTTATTGAAATAAATCATTAGAACAAATGAGAATAAATTAAATATGAGAACCTTTTATGATAAAGGTCAATTAAACTAATTTTGACTCTGTCGAAGTCAAACACCCAAAAATATGATGTCGGAGAAAGTATAACGAATAAATATAAAAATTATATCTCGTTGGATAGAGTTTAATTGTCTGATCACAACGGTGCAAACGGAATTCAATTCAGAGAAAGTTGG